TCATAACCTCTTTGGTTCTACAGTACTGCTTCAAAAAATCTCCTACCTCGTCAGTTTTATGGCATAATTCACTGGACCCTTGTGAATAATTTTTTTGTCAAATTTTTGTTGGCCAAAGTTAGTAAGTCAACAATAATTCAATTACAGCATTACTGGTGTGGTAGTATTAGTTCTGAACAAACTTGAGAGCTTCTCCCTTACCTCTCGGTGGGTGCTCTTCCCCAGCTTTTCAGTCCTTTGACTCCTACACTTCATTTGAGTTCGTTTGTTTTTTGAGGTCCATTTTGGCATCCCATTGGTATATGTGAGGATGAGGCTATCCGCCTAACGATTCTCAACTCCTTTCACTATCAAATGACTACTGGCGTCAAAGTTGTGCTACTCCTGTTAAGAAACATAGTGTTTGCTCATCGTTGTCATGACTACATTACACATCAACCCACTACTGTACCGGTATCTCTGTAGCCGTTGTAACGATTTGCATTTGTCTGTGCGTGTGTGGACGTTAAATGTACATCTTGGTTGGTAATGTGCTTAACGAAGTGTGAAGTAGTGTTATTCATCTCTCACTCTTCTATGTTTTTTCCTTTATGAACACAGCTGGAATCTTCCTCCTTCAAAATGAGTCGATTGTAGAGATTCTTCTATCTTGGCTTTGGTAGTTACTTTGTCGATCAGCTGAATTTCAAGGTCACTAAACCTGATTCGTATGTTGGCTTTTCGTATTCATAACTTCATTTACACCAGCCAGAGGTTCTTCTTTCCAAAGATTGGTCAAAGGTTATGCACTCTGTGTTGCCTTATTCGGGAACAAAGTTAGTAAAAGTTGTTATTTGGCTCGGCCGCTGATCTGTTGGATAATCAAATGGGTGGCAGGTTATAGCGCGTGTGAGGGCGACTCACTTCGGCTTGCAGTTTCTGAGCGTACATTTGTTTCGTGCATTGCCGTTGGCAGTGGTAAGTGCTGAGCTTGTACTTTCCTTAACCTTTATTCACCGGTCCAGTTGTAGTGAGTTTACTGGCCCAAGATGGACACTACTAGTCATTGTAAAAGGGAGAAGGGGCTTTAATAGTGGGTCATTTTAACTTGCAGAAGTGTGGTTTATCATCAAGGAGGTGTAGCTTTGATGTTTACTGAAGGAATCATTCATAGTACCACGGTAAGTTTCAAACGCTTGAGCTATGGAGGAGTTGGTTCCATAAAATTTTTTTGGGAGATTTCCTAATCGACACATTTTCTGTCTAAACTTAAGGGTAATCTCAAAAGTTATTTAGCTTTGAGTGTCAAGAGTAACATCGGAGGTCTAAATTTTGGTGTCTAAGCTAACAACTTCTTGTGTCCTGAGCCCTACAGGCGACAAAAAAGTATTAAATCATTGCGAGTGTTGGATGAACGTTCCAAGAGGACCAAGTTGAAAGTTAATGCAAATCAGTCGCATTATACATCTATGCTTAATTGGTAATGTTTCATTTCTTTACACTGACCAGAGAATGCCAATTTTTGAGACCTAGATAAGTGAGTAACGAATTGTTTCCCATCTCCCTTCAACTAGAGCGTCGCAGAGATGCAAATGGCCGTGTGTACTATGTGAACCATCGGACAAAGACGACGCAATGGGAGGATCCGCGCCAAACCACAGCACCTCTGCCGCCGGGTTGGGAGATGCGATATACTCCTGAGGGATTCGTTTTCTATGTTGACCACAATACTAGAACCACTACCTTCAAGGATCCTCGTCAGCCTGGATCGGTGTAAGAAGTTTTTTTGTTATTAAAACTAAAAAGCCGGATTATGCTGGAGGAGGAGGGGTTTTCGGTTTTATAGAAGTACTTCTGAGTGGTAGGATTTGTTAACCTCACACATTCAAACAACTTGATTCACTTGATTTCGGTATTGGATACCTGTGACTGTACGAAGGTGTTAGGATGCTGAATGTACACAAGTTTTTAATGGCAGAGACGCTCGTGTAGTAGGTCCCTTTTGGGAACTTAGTCCATGATTAAGTTTCTGTATTATGGATGCCAGGTTTGTTGTTCATCAAATGCTTTTAGCACCTTTGGGGAGTCTTTTGGCTTCGGTAGGTGTATGTTGTCCTGAAACTTCACCTGTTTGACTTCCTAAGACTAAATGGATTATTTCTGGATAATGAGTCAAGGTAATTGGGGTTCTTCTTCGTCAAGGTCTATAGTATGTGGAAGTGGGATTAGCAATGAGCAGAAGAGTAATTGCATGGGCGGGTGGCGGTAGATGGATAAGAGAAGTGGGAGAACGAATGGGCGAGTGAGGAAATAGTTGAATGCAGGATTGAATGAAAGACGTATCACTCTTTTCAAAGTTGATCTCATGTTTGCGATTTTAAACACTCAATCCCAGTTATCAACCGTTTTTGAGGCCAGTTGCGAAATCAAAAATGCTATCCATTTTAGTTTTGGATCTCTTTTTTAGTATTCCATCACATTAATCTAGGCGAGGGAA